TACATAAATGTGAACGATTGCTCATAACACACATTATGCAAAGTTTTAAGCAAATCAGATAAGATCATGTTTTCCCGAATCGTCATTTGGAGTGGAACTGCTCATGTTTTCTGCTAGATGTTTTAAAATTTAATTTATTTCTACATCGAATACCACATAAATTATAATTTAATGTTCTTTGATGACGAATCATTCAAGAATATAAAATATTACAATAAAATTGAATATAAACGGGCTTCTGGAATTCATTGACCAGCTCCAAAATGATCCACTATCTCAGGTACCGTCCTTGGTCCACTCTATTCTCTGCAGTTGCACGCCAACTGACAAATCGATTTTATTTTTTCCTCTCCGAATTCTCTGAAACTTTGCATAATTGTTTGCTAAGGGCAACGATCCATCTTGTGGTAGAAATTCGGCTATGCTGACTATCACCTAATTTTTCAATATGGCGTTTTGGATATTTTTCAATAAATCATAGCACGAAAACAACTCATCCGAAATAACGTCTGACACAAAATTGTAGGAAACTGAATTGCCTTATCAGACAAAAAATCACGAATTTTCAATAAAAATTAAAATAAAAAAACTGTTAAAAACTTCAGTAGCAAAAAAGTGCATTTTTAAGATTTTTAAACTTATTTTTATTTGAAAGTCTATCAAAAATACCATATTTTCTGAAATTAACATTTTAAAATTGACCAAAATCGTAAAACATCAAATTTTATAGTAAATTTAAAACACGCATTATTTCATTTTCATTTTCATTTTGCAGCGTTTGGTGGGGCAATGGGAGCGCAAGTCAATCCAAAGCCGAGGATAAAGGACGGGTAATGGCTGAATAGTCTATGCGGAACACTTGAACGCCATGAGAAAAGGAAGGGATTGAAGAGGCCGGTTATTGGGGGGTTTTGAGAAAACGACACATAGTGATGCTCAATGTAAAGAAACCGAAAGACCATCTCCCACTGATTCATCCTTTCACATATATACCAAATTGATATTTTAAAGCAATGATCAAAATAAACAGACAATACATGAAAAGGCTAGTTGCCAGTTGCTTTAAAGACTAGTTGCCTCCCTAAGCGGACCTTCCGCATCCTAACTCTTCTGTTAATCCACTTAATGCTACTAGGCTGTCTAAATGTTCTTATTTAAGTTCGTTTGATGATTATGATATCTCTACACGCAAACCAAAAATCTATTACAATGAATGTTAGTTCCGTTTCCTATCATCCTCTGTTCATGAACATCGCAACGAATGTTAGAAATTGACCATGCAGGCGATGTAATGGTTTTTTGTCTTTTTTATTTGTGTTCTATCCACGCTATACCAGTAAGCTTGTAGAACGACGCACATTGTAGAACATTGTAGAACGACGCACACACTTGCCTCGAATCTCTCCAGCAGAAAAAGCATACGAAGTGGAGTATGCGAGAAAATGAGCGCTTCATACTTGCTTTTAGGTTATCCTTATTCAGAAGCATGGAGAGAGCAGTGAAGAAAGCACAGGTCTAATAATCGCAACGTTCGTGGTTCGAGTCCAGTCGGCAGTCTGTTTCCTATTTTTTTCGACATAACTAATTTACCTCACTAATACACTCTACATTTTTCGGTCTCCAATTTTCTTGCATCGGACAGCAGCTAGGTATATCGCATCCTCGGTTCATGCGGTCTCCACTAACATCCTCTGATGATGAATCCCACATAATTGTAAGCAAATCTTACATCCCCCGGTTGGGTGTAGTCTAATTTAATAAATAATTGAAATCTTTAATCTACCTACCATGCTTTATTAAGTATCTGCACTTGTGAATGTAATCTAAAATTTAACGTGTTTTAAGTTATTTTTGACTTTGACCTATATTTAATATATATTAGTTCGTCCCAGGTGACACCTTCAAGTGACTAAAATGCTTCACTTTGAAGTTTCCTAGCTGATTTTTAAATTACATAGGGTATATGCTTCAACTACGCTCACACGTCTCCACTATATCACACCACAAAAATACGTATGGTTATGTCACAATAGAAGCACGCCACAGTGGAAATCCCGAGCCATAGTTCAAACACTTATCCCAAATCAAAATGAAGCACATATAAGATTAGTTGCAATACCATGTACAAAAATGGTGTTTAACATTGTTCCCTGAGTAATACCTCAATGAAAACAACAACGAAAGCTTGTCACGCAAGTAGAAGGAGCACTGTTGGGCACTTTCTGAAATATTTCAATAGTATAAATCTATCTGCGTAAAAATAAATAAAATAAGAGTGATTTGCGCCAAAACCCGCCAGTATCCAACATCAGTTACTATACAACGCGGCTTTCAAATAAAGGAGTAACAAGTGTGATACTATCACTTCAAGCTAGAACTTTGGTTCTCTTATGCAATGGTTCATCAGAGAGGGGAAGCTCAGTAATCCTCATCGCATGCTCATGACGCTATTCTGTTACGGCATGAGCCAACGATGCCGGACCTAAACCAACCATCTCCAACGCTCCACTATGAAGCATAAGATTAGGCCCGCCCACCAACAACCAGGTTAAAAAACTAGTCAAGGGGAGGGAATTTTAAACACGCATTATTTATGTAATTTATACATAGAATATGATTTTCAGGACTAAAAAAAACATGTTGTCGGCATGAAAAACAATAAAAATTATTTGTAAAAAAAAAATCAAATGTTTTTACTAAAAGTTTATGCTCTACTATTTTGGCCAATTAACTGGCCCACAAAAATAAAAGTTCTAATTTTCCACGGGCCTTTGATTTGTGCCTTTAGGTGAGAAAAGCATTCTCTGAAAGTTTTAGCTCATTTGGTTGTAGGATGAGCTGGCGCTTTTAATTTGAATTTTGTATGGGGATTTTGGATAAAATACATGAAAAAACGACAATCCTACACTCTATCGATAATAAAAAAGTTTCCTTATTCTACATTTGTTTGTTTTATTGAGATATTCGCTTTTGAATACATATGAGCATTTTGTAAATGGAAATTTAAACCAAATCTCCTATATGAACATTAAACCAAAAGCGCCATTCCGAGTAACGTCAAAAAGAGCTGAAACATTCAGAGAGTGGTTATCTCACAAACTGACACGGGACTGGATGTTGTCCTGTGGAAACTTTGAACTTTTATTATTACCACTGAAATCTAGTTGATACGTTGCAGAAGCTGCCTGTTAAGCTACAAGTGCTGAAATTCTGAGCTTAAAAGAGTTTGCTGAACCAGTTTTATGCACGAAAGAGTGAAGGAATGTTATTCCTCCATCATTTAAAAAAAAAATCCCCATATTAACTTTAAGCCAAAAGCGCCAGCTCGTGTTACATCCAAATGAACTGAAATTTTAAGAGAGTGGTTTTTTTCACCTAATGGCAAAAATCTGGAGGTTGACCCGTTGAAAAAACGATAAAAAATCTCCCATATAAATGTAGGCCAGTCTAATGTCCATTGTGTCCAATATTAGAAAAGTTAGGATTTTTGATAAGCTTTCTGATACACATAAGTTTAAAAATTATAGAAATTTACGTATTATATTATTGAAGTTTTAACAGTTTTTTATTTAATACGTCTTGCTATGCTTTTCATTTATCGACAAAAAAAGTGATTTTTGTCAGCATGTATTTTTTTCTGAAAAGGTAATCCAGTTTCCTACAACTTTGTCTCAGACGTCATTTCGATTGATTTCGATGAGACGTTTCCGTGCTGTGATTTATTGAAAAATATCAAATTCACCATTTTCAAACCTATTTGGCCTGGTACTCCTCTGAGTGCGTAGCTCAATAAGGTTGTTTGGGACGACCCCAGCATAACGGTTAATATCCATACCACTCACGCTAAAGTCACGAGTTCAAATCTCATCCCGGGCAAGTCACGAATCAAACAACAGAGTTCAAGTGACTATAATAATAATAATAAAAAAAAACAAGGTTGTTTTCACTCGTTTCGAAAAAGGCTTTCTAGATAACTCTCCATATGTAGTTCTTGAACGTTGTCACCGTCTGAAACATCCTCTGCTCGGGTCTCAAGTTCTTCTAATCGGTGTGTGATGAATCGCCGCCCGAGTTTCTCCTCTCGACGCTGGATCCACGCAATGCGTAGGCGGATCTCGCCGATTATAAGGTGATAGTCCGACGCGATTTATTCCGAACATCCGCCTCCATTTTCGACTGATGTGGATAATTTGATTTTCGGTATGTCCAACAGACGAGAACACGCGTGACCCGCTCATTAATAGTCCGTGTCCATTGATTTTTAACGCTACTTTGTAAATATACATAATCGACAATTTTAGTACCGTTTTTAATCACATGTTTATTGTGTTGCAAGCGTTTATTTAATGTTGCAAGCATAATATTTATTTTAAAAAAATGTCCTGATTAACGAACCGCCGGAATTGGTGAATTACGGTGTTACCGCGTATTAGGTATGAGGAAACTAGATGGCAAGATCACATTTTCTCCTTGATTTGTTTTCCGTCAACCTTGTTTTCCGTACTGAGTACCAATGCTACCGATGCCAGGGAGGCAGCTCCCACACCTGGACCCTACCTATCGACCCATCAACTCATGGACCGGGGATCAACGGCTTTACCGAAGGAAGGCGTGATCAGTGATTTTATGCCTCAAAAAATCCCGACGGCACTGACTGGGATTTAACCCAGACCCTGTCACACACACAGCAGATCACACTTAACAAACAAACAAAAACTTAAAACAATGAAAAACTTCTCGGAAAGACAGGGCAAAGCAACTATCTCAACAAAAAATCAATTTCTGCTGAGTTCTACGCTCGGTTAGTTGCATTAATAGACAGTGGTTCGGAGCATAAACAGCCGCATTCATAAAACTTAGGTCTGATAAATGTATATACGAGGACGAGGACACAGAGGGATTTAAATTATGAATAGAACATACTAATCCAAATAAAGAAGACCGCAAATCAACCTCATTCTATTTGCCTACACTCTACGTGAAATACGCTCAATACTTACATGTAAATTTATCTTCATCTGGAGCTCCAGCGAGTTGGTCGTAGTCGAAAGTGATTGAAACAGATTCAAGATAATTAACGGATCACATGGCTCATAACCGTCGCCTTCTGCCACCGATGGCACCGCGCATTCTGCGGCGGTGGAATTCAAATTCAAACCAGTTTCATCCGACGACATTTCTGCCATCACAGCACCTGCGGCTATCTTCGCCGTTGAACTTGACGCGGAAGAATTTGCCATCGGCAAATTGCCGCCACTATCAGCGTTGAGTGCGAGCTGCTCGACGTCACCTGAATCGGTATTGTTATCACCATCACCACCGTCACTGGGGAACACTTCATCCATTTGGGACGACATTCTCTTTTTATGATACTTTTTTTCTCTGTTGTTGTTATCACACCACAAACGGGTTTCTTCGGCTTTTCTTTTCTTATCATAAACAGCTACCCTCGCGATGCACTCGACGACTTTTCTGCATGAACGAACAACTTGCTTTACTTAACCGAATTTCAACGGCTTCTGTTATACAGGCGACGCCTGATGGGAATTATTCACTCTTCAAACAATAATATGAAAGGAAATATTCCACACAACGTTGAACCATGAGATCAAGAGTGCAAATTCTTAGTTGTAAGATAAAACAACAATCACAGTATTGTGTCGCCCGCTGTACAGCGCCGATGGATTTACGAGATGAATTTATTTCTAGCATGATTACCTACGGCCATTTTGTATGCAGAGAAAAAAAAACGATTGAGACTTCTTGCAGCTTGTTTTCAGAACAAACAAGGACAGCATTGTTATTGAGGTAACTGCGGTCCTTCATGCGGCTTAAAAGGTTTGTAACCGTCTCTCAATTAGTCATTAAAAACCAAGCATCGGTGTATTTTGTCAAATAAGAATACTGCTTGCATACAATCATCTTAATTTTCATCTTCGTTAAAACTGAAACTTAATGTTTGCCTTAAATTTAGTGTTAATTGCACAGTTTCTCAATTTTGGACAACCTGGAAGATTCCCAACGTATAAATACTCCCAAAAATCTATTGGAATTCTCATCGAAATGCCCTGTAACACTCCTAGGAGTACCCAAGGAATTGCCCTCAAAATCATCCTGGAATTGTCCTCAGAATCATCCTGAAACTCTCCAAGAAATTATCCTTAAAATCGCAAAGTTTTCTGTTCTTCAGTAATCTTTAAGTATGTTCCAAAAATATTCATCGAATTCTCTTCAGAATTTCCCTATGGATTTTCGTTAGAATTGAATGAAATGACTTAAACTCTTCTCGTAATTCTATTAAAATCTCTGTTGGGTCCCCTGGAGACTCATCAAAATCTGATTAAAAGTCTCATCGAAATCCCATTAGAATTATCCTAAGAATTTTCATGGAATCGTCATCAGAACCATCCGGGAATTGTCCCCAGAATTACCTTCGAAATCTGCTTAGAACCCCTTTGGAACTTCTGCTCATCGAGTGTATCTGCTAACACTACTGCGACCAGTAAATTGATCTATTGTAGTATATCCCGTGTCCTTAGTTTAGTACATGTCGCATTACTATTGAGAAATGATGAAGTATTATTCGATTTTTTTTTTACAGTTGCCACTCTTGCATTTATCGCAAGGATCCGACTCTAATTGAAAGTTCCCGCTATTTATACCCTTCGGAGTGTTGAAACACCCTCCAAAGGCGCGCCCCTTTGTCAGTCAAAATTGGATTCCTTAGCAACAAAATTAAGGTATGACACCGATAATGACCATGCATCAGAACCCTAGTCTTAACCACTTCAAACTAGGGAACAACGAATAGAAGATTAGGAATCACATAGATGAAGACAACTAACTCATTTTTTTCTTTGTTTCAAGATCATCCTCGGTAGAAAAAGCCGAGTCTTGTCACTATCAACAAGGCATAAAAAGTAACAAGGACTAAGATGTGTTCCGGATTACTGAAAAATCCTGTTCCCCTAGTTTGAAGTAGCAAGGACTAGAAATCGGTGGTAGATCTTACATCCCGTAACGTACCACGAAAAGGTGATCTACCCACGTTACGGGGCTGCTTCTAAGTATCCTGTTCCTAAATCTATAATCTACCATTCTCAGAATTACCTTGGATTTTTATGTCAGAACTCACCTGAGAATTGTCTTGTAATTCTGCTTAGAGTTATCTAGGAATTCTCCGAAATTTTTTTTTTTGAAAATTCGTCAGAACTCTCTAGGTATACAACAAAAAATTTCGTAGAATCCCCCTCAGAATTGATTTGGAATTATCCTGAAAATTATTAAGGAACTCCCTCAACTAACATTTTCAGCTTTATAAGCCATCTTTTCCAGCATTGCACAGTGGTCCAGAATGCAGATTTAGGTGGAAGGATATGTTTTGAGTCTGAAATTTAAACTTTAGAGTTAATGTGTATTCTACAAAGTTGTTCCTTATAGTTAGGCCCTCATTTTTTATGAAAATGAATTCTAGGGTGGTTCTTATTATCGTTGAAATCAAAAATCTATTTTTTTTTAAAGAAGTTAATGTATACATTCTTGGGCAAAGCTAGTTTCAAGAAACCTTGTTAAAAAAAACTTTTTTGTATCTCTTAAATTTACTGATTTAGAGCTATTTTCTTGAATTGAGTAAGGCTGTCTCAAAAATATACTGTTTTTTTACCAAACTTTTAACACAACCAACCACTCTTGATGAATAACATAAAAATCATAAGTGCTATTTCAACAACTAAAACAACCTGTACTCAGCTAATAGGCTGTGTTAGCGCTACTTTGGAAGCATTTTTAAAGTCATCTAGGTTTGTTTCGGCCAGGATGCGGCCCTACGTTGTGTTTTCAAGGCGGTGGAAGATTTCGTTTCAGAGCACACAATAAACTACAAACTTCACTTGGCGGCACTACAATATTACTTTTTATTGCCTCCGAGAGACATCCTGCCTGCTCGGGGTAGTACGTTTACTTAAAAACTATACATTAAATTTCATCTTTAAAAGCTAACACAGAACAATTACTATAATTTCAATTACAAAAAACCATTACAAAATGTAAGAAATAACATTGAATGGCATACATTTACAATACATGGTGGGGAGCGAAACGGTAGTTACTGTTCTTACAGTATGGCGGGCTTTACTACCATCTGACCGGGGGTATTGATTTCTGTTTGCTTGGCATATTCAAATGCAGTAGAGCCCGGCGCCGATGGTGCGATCGAACAAGGTTTATTTTTAGACTTTAGACTTAGACTATAATGGGATAGGTTAATCGATTTGCTTGGGACCAATAGGCTAGTCAAGCAGTGAGCCAATTTAAAATCGTTAGCTTCCAGCGGTTGGTTTTACCTCGAGTTTTACAGCTTTTACTCTGCTCCTTTGCAAAGCTGAACTTTACTGATACACGTGCACTATTATAAAGCCTCTACTCAGCTATATTGTTGTTGAGAGTCATGTAGATTTGTTTACGCCAGTTCAAAGTGTTGGCGTAGCGAAGTTCGTAGTGTCAAAGTTTGCCAATGCGGTCGTCTCGAGTTCGAGTTTGGGTTTCCGGAGCAGGGTAATAATTTGATGGTGTGCTTATAACTAGTTTCGATTAATTTGATTGGCAGCAAAATAAAATCAATAAATTCCTCCAACAAAAAAAGTAAACAATAACCCGGCTTCAAGATAATGCTGTGTAGTGATTATTGGATAATCGTGAAAAGGTTGAATAAGCGCTTTTGAAGTTCACACAGAACTAAACAGCAGAATGAAGTATGGAACACGCAAAAATTGGTCAATTTCAAATTGATGTATTTCTGCTTAAAATGCATAAAAAAAACCTGGAATGCTGCATTTGGAAGTTGAGTGTATACCCGAGCAAAGTCGGTTAACAAAATGAAATCAAAACTATATTGAAGTTTGAAGTTCCTATCATAATGAAAACTTATTTTGATTTCAATTGTCGCGAAATAAATCTGATATCATATTGTGCATTCAATGTGCAATCAAGAGTTTTTTTTTAAATTAAAGCAACTTAACTTCAAGTTTTGCTCTAACATCTTGTTGAAAATTTAATTTGTGTCGTTGAACTAACGATTATTGTTTATTTGGTCATTTCAGGTCATTCGTGACTTGTCCGGGTAAGATTTGAACTCAAGTCTTTCAGCGTGAGAAGTATTGATGCTAACCATTTACGCCTGGCCCGTATTCAGTTAAATATTATGAATGCAAAATCAGTAATCAAATTGATTTAATTGAAAGCAGCAGCAGCATTCGTTAGATTCAACAGTGTAATATTGTGCTTTCATTTTTGCTGTGTTAACCGTTAAGTCAACCAAAATGAGATCAACTGGAGTATTCAAAATAAGTTATATCATAACAGCAAGTTTTGATTTCAATTTGATCTCCAGCTTTGCTCGGGTATACAATGCTATGATGACTTTTCACCGTTTGCTCTCCAGTTTTCAAAATGACATCCAAGCAAGAGGAGCAGCGTGTTAAAATTTTGCGCGCGCAGCAAGAGAATCCGACGTTCTCACACGAAACTTATGTGAAGGCGAATTTCAAGCAGCTTCCGGGACAGGAGTATAAAACCGCATCAGGAAAAGGGAAATTGGCTGAAATTTTCAAACCCATCATACTATCGAAGTTCCCGAAAAAATATCTCGTCTGGTAGGCCATATGCACGTGTGGTCTAAAAAGCGGCATTTTTATTACTAAGAGAACCATCAATCAAGAGATCTTCGTCCAGGAGTGCCTGGAAAAGCGGCTGCTACCATTCCTAAAGCAACATAATAGACCTGTGATGTTCTGGCCGGACTTGGCGAGCTGCCACTATGGGAAAAAGGCAATCGAGTGGTACGATGCGAACAACGTGGTTGTGGTACCCAAAGACCACAACCCTCCCAACAGCCCAGAACTCCGCCCTATCGAACGGTATTGGGCCTTTGTTAAACGAAATCTAAAAAAACTAATAAATCTATGGAAAACGAGCAGCAGTTTACATCTAACTGGCGTTCGGCGGCAAATAAGATCGATGAGACCACTGTGCAGAATTTAATGGAGGGGTTAAGCGGAATGCACGGCAGTTCGGATTTGGCAAACCAAAAGAATAAACGAACAATTTTTCCTTTCAATATATGAATTGAACTACCAAAATAAAAATAAGAAGATGTTTGTGGTATGAATTTTGACTGGAAGAAACGATTTTTTTGTCGACCAATTTTTGTGCGTTCCAGTCTTTAGCAGCTGTATAGAAGCCCAAATGGATATGTAATAAGAGCCTGTCACAACCATCCCATCAGCCATAAGTTGATGACTAAGTTCGCTAGATTTGCTTCTATAGAGGTTGAGTAAATCTTACCTCATATCGTATAGCATTTAAATACAGCTTGAGGGTATATAAATGAAATGAGCAAAGCGTTTACATTGTGAAAACTGTTAATTGGTTTGGTTTTCTTTATTAGAAACTTCTGGTTCATCTCTGGGAGCCCCAGCAGGGGACTCCCTAAGTTGCAAAGTTTTTTAAAGCGGTTTGGGAGCCTGGAATAGACTTCCCCTGCGATATGGGGAGTTAAGAAGGGCCTTAAGAAGCCCCCAAAGTTTGTGTGGCCCTACAGAAGGGAGTGCCCTAAACTGTCTTTGCTGTCTATGCTGTCTACAGTCGTTTGGTATCCGTCGATATGGCCGGGTCATTTACCTTGGGATGTCCTTTTCGTTGCGTTTGTCGGTCGTGGTATATTTGAAAGTTCGGTTCGTATTCTTTGTGGATAGCAGTCATCGTGGTATGTGGTTCTATGCAGATTTTATATAGAAACCAGCGACCGCAGACTTCATGGAGGGGTCTACTGTCGGTTCAGTTCGATTAAATTGCATCGAAGAGGTCGGCTTATCGGAGGAAACATTCGAGGCCCGCAGTTCTGGCCGGGTCATCCGCTAAGGCATCCCGGATGCTTCCGGCAATGCCGTATAGTAGGCGTGGACCCTCATATAGAGATGGCAGATGGCATGTTCGAGAGGTTCACCTGCATTCGATGGTTCTTAGGACCCATTGTTAGTTGGGCTTGCTCAACACTTCCTAAATATGCTCCCACACTTTCCATGGAATTCCTTTACATTTCCCTTTGGAATTTCCTCGCAATTTATATTCATCCCTATAATTATGTATTTATTTATTCATTTTCTCATTATCAATTACGTGTAATTATCTCACGATAACCAATGAACAGATTATCAGAATTTTCCTTAGAACTATAATAAAAAAAAAACTTGGAGTTATTTTCAGAATTGTCTTAAATTTCTGATTAGAATTATCTTGGAATTCTCCTAAGAATAATTCTCCTCAGCATTTCCTAACTATACTCCCAATGTTCCCTAGGTATTTTTCGAAGAATACTACTTGGAATTTTCCTCAGGATTACCTTGAAAATTAACTCAAAACTACACTAGTGGAAATTAATTTAAGGACACCTAAAAACCATGGCTCACCAGAATCAGGGGAATTTTATATCATGTGTGTTTGGAAGCCACATTATCATGCTACAATATGAGCCTAAGAAAGAACCAATTGCATCATGTAGGTACGTAGGAGAAGTTTTCGAACATTACAAAAATCATTGGTTGATCAGCGATGATCACATAAGAGATACGGTGCGGTGAAAAATTACAAACTCCTTGTAATATTTTATATAATTCTGTAAAATAGAATCTTGCATTTACCAGCTGGGTTTTAGGTTCTTTTAAAATCTCCTTAAAATTCCTCTGAGATTCTTATTAAAATAATCTTTAAAAATTATTGATATTGACCCAAAATCATGGAAACAAAAATAATTCCAGAGCTTTGAAAATAAAATAAGGCCCACAATTTTTTCAAGCAATCTTGTATGAGTCTGAAATTTTTTTAATGTATTTAATTAATTTATTAATTCATAGCCTAAAAAACCGGAAATTTTCTAGAGGCAAAATGTTGATGATTTTTGCAGCCCGTAATCTTGAACAAAAAAATCTGAATCTATGCTCGAAAAATTTCAAGATTTTTTTCTAAAATAGTTTCTTATCCTCCAGAGTTAACCTTATGATACATTCAGCCCACTATTTCTGACTGCCTAACTAGATGAATGTTTTCCAAATTCGGAGACTTGGAAAACCTACTTGGAAAATTTGATGCAATGCTCTAGCTCAAATATTTTTTCATGATTCTTTGATTAAGGGCCGATTTCTTCAGCTCCGTTTAAATCTTAAACCAGGTTTACCCATATAGTTAAACCTGGTTTAAAGCATAACCACCGGTCCTGACATAAATGATAGTTAAATATCCCAAAAATCATGAATTCTGACAATGGAAATAAATTCTCCATCTAAGGTCATAAAAGCCTGAAGATTTTTTGAAATTGTAGATAGTTTGATGATTGTTGCTGTTTATGCTATGCTAATCATCCAACATTCCTATTAAGGACTTCATTTGTATTTTACAGTTGCTCTCTTCCATTCATTATTTTGATATCAAAAGTTTAAAAACAGACTGTACTCTAAAATCCCGTGCAATCAGCTAAAGCATACATTGAACAGGGTAGTAGGTACCATTCTTTTATATGGTAAGTGTAATAGTTTTTGACCCAAGTGGTTGTTTAACTGACCCTATCTTAATTTTCATATTTTTTCATTCTTTCTTTAATTTATTTCGACACAAGATTAAACAAATGTTTTGCCATATATCTACACGCAAACCCAAAATTTATTACAATGAATGTTAGTTCCATTTCCAATCATCCTCTGTTCATGTACATCGCAGCGAATGTTAGAAGTTGACCTTGCAGGCGATGTAATGGTTTTTTGCCTTTTTTTATTTCGTGTTCTGTCTGTGCTTTCACCTACACAAGCAAGCATTTGCCTTGATTTTTATGTATAACATGATAGAACGACGCACACACTTGCCTCGAATCTCTCCATCAAAAAAAGCATACGAAGTCAAGTGTGAGAGGAAATGAGCGCTTGTTGTTTGTTTTTAGGCTATCCATATTCAGAAGCATGGAGAGAGCAGTGGAGAAAGCACAGGTCTGAAAATCGCAACGTTCATTGTTCGAGTCCAGTCGGCAACCTTCTTCCTATTTTTTTCGACATAATTAATTTCACTCACTAATACACTCCACATTTTTTGGTCTCCAATTTTCTTGCATTGGACCGCAGCAAGATATATTGCATCCTCGGTTCATGCGGTCTCCACTTACATCCTCTGATGATGAATCCCACATAATTGTAAGCGAATCTTACATCCACCGGTTGGGTGTACACACGAAAATATTATGAAGATGTATTCCAAATTTTAGTAAGGCCCCAGGTCCAAAAACTAGAGCAATATCCAAATAATATATTTATCTTAATAAATATACCATTTGCGTTCAGTATTCCTTCTTCCCAAGATCAGGCAGCTAGGAATTGAAAAATAATACCAGCTAAACGTCCATCCGCAAACAACGGTACCTCTCTGTACATACGCTATTAGCAAATTAGCGTTATTGCTAAGGCGAAAACTTTTTTTTTTCAACTAAAATTTCAACATCACAAAGTGTCTGGCTTTCGAATCATTAAATCTCTTATAAAAGCTTTTTGCCTTAGTCAGGCCAAACAATGAATAACAATCATCTTAAATGCCTTAAAGAGCGATTAGAAGTTAAATATATGGGACACGAAGCTCGTAAATCCATAACTATGACACTGCGGCCGGCACGATGCTGTGTTTACGATGTGTGTATCACCATCATATTTCGAATCTTTCACTTGTTTGTTTTACTTGTTTAAATATACACTTTGTCTTCTTGTCAAGTCGCTTTTGTGTTTAAACCCTTTTCAAACGATTATTACTCACACTCGTTGTACTACGAACTTTTCTTCCACTCTCGTCTATCTCTTCTATCAAACGGTGATTATCTTTCTTTTATGATATCATCATACTACACCGCAAGAAGCACTAAACACTGAACACACAAGAAATTCACTCCATTTGCGTCACACAGGAGATTTTTGCTGACATCTCGTATGCGAGACGAGACACACGAACAAAAACACTGCGAAGAGCTTAAAAGCAGAATCATTTGATTTAATCACTTGGTACAACTTGCATCAGTAGACAATCACATTAATCCACGTCCTCTGCTACTGCTCACTCACTCACTGATAAGCGCCACGCGAATTGATCCAAAAAATACTTGACCGACCGACAGACGAAAATATATTCATAGCATCACACACTGAAAACAAAATTGCAAACACATCAGCATATCCCGCAGTGGTTAGTGACTGCTGGCTACTAGTGGCTACTTTTTAGGTATCTATATGGCGCAATCCGACGAAAACACGTATGCAAAAACACCAACCCTACAACCGGACGGAAGGCGATCTCTCGATTGAATGGTTTGTTTTGATACACGGCACTCTCTTTTTATCTTTTCGGTACAGATCGATTGCACAAATACCTACATACGGTTGCGAGTACGTCGCCGTCGCGGATGCTACGATATTATCAGAAAAAAACGGGAAGAACCGGGAGATGAAGATGTGGAGCTAAAAGAGAATACTACCAAGGCAACCGCCACCGACCGACGACGCCAACAACACGAGATTACAGGATGCTCTTTTGAATCTCCGTCGCCGCGCACGTGAACACAAAAATCATTCTATAAAAACCGGCGCGGTCTCCGTCTCTGTTGACTGTTGGTAGCATTTGCACGTTGGCAGAGGAAATTTGCTCTCACTCTTTCTTTTCGAATGTGTGGCACTGGTTGGTGGACTCTCTTTCGAGAGAGAGAGCGATTACATTTTCGATTTCGAGCCGGCAATATGTAAACAAAAAAGGAACCCGATGAGGTACAGGATGATCCAAACTGGGGGGGGGACGTGCTGTCAAATCAGCCTACTGATCATTCTTGTATGAAACTGGTTCCAAAGGTAAACAAACGCTGTAGGTTTCTTATGGCTTGTTTACGTTTGGAACCAGTTATCCCAGTTATGCGAGGTAGGCGACGATTGTTCGTATTTGACAGCCACCTCCCCCCCTTGGATCCAAAGGGAGACCAAAAATGTTATAAAGCGTAACGCATATGCACGGAAAGAAATTTGTAGCCAATATCACAGCCGCATATCACATTTATACGAGAGTTGATTATATACACGGATAGAAATCTCCTTATACCTTTTGGCAAATTTCCATTGCTGATTATTCATAAATTGTATAAGTCAACTAATAAGCAGACGCCTTGCAAAAAGTTAATAAAGATCATGTGTCAAATGAAATGTATAAGTGGTCACACATACCTATTATGCATTCTAATAGGACCTATGTGGTTTGTCTTATGGAATGTATAAGGCTGATGCTTTGGCAAAAATGTATAAGTGAAACACAAGAATTAAATAATTGATTTTCGTTTCGTGTAGAAGAGTTACACAGAGTGAAGTTTGCAACACCGATGTCGATCAATGGGCATTTTTATTTTATTTTGGCAACCTTTGTTTTTGTTTAAACCTCGGATTACTTCATCAGGGTTGTGAAAGTTTCTTCTACACACAAAAAATGCATCTACTTGCATCGCGCATCATCTTTTTACAGGAAATCTTCAGAATCGTCATAAATCTTCTTTCTATCACACAAAAAACTAAAATTGTATTGACAAAAATAAAGCATTTTTAAATTAAAAGTTTCCCAAAACTCATAGTTTCAACTACGAAAACATTCAAAATTAAATTATTATTTTTTAATTGAAAGTGTTTCTTTCACTTTCGATTCGTAATTTAAAAGTGTTTTTTTTTAAATGAAAAGTTGTACAACTGTCAAAATACCGATGTTTTTACTAGCAGCACGGAACCCTCTTTTGCCGCTTTTTTCGGAAAAATAAATCTCAATAGCAGTGGAGAATCTTTGTGTCCAGATGATTGAGAAATCGATGTAAGTATTGAAAATAACAAATGATTAAGATAAGCTATAACACCCGTCCTGAGCAAACTTCCGGAGGAAGAGATGATATTCCCACGCCCGTAAATAACTCACCATCCTCACAAAGATAAAAACAGTCACAGATAGGTAAGTGGGGCCGTCCACTCACCGACAAGGGATGGTTCTATACATTTCCATTTTCAGTTACCCGTTTGAGCGGCCATCATTACTCACAGGATACCATAGCTATCACCTTAGCCTTGCTGGCAAAAAAACAGCAGCGCTATGAATTCTTCAATGCAAGAAAGCATCGTTCTGTTAAAAAAAATGGCGCTAATCTTTACATTGGTATGTGCTTTCTTATCTCACTTCGACAATAAATATCATAACTGACTTTCATTTCATTCCAGTAGATCATACACCAGCGGACAGGTGATTATGGGTGATACTCTGGCATTCACATCGAAGATGATCCACTGCCGGAATCGCTGATGTTATGTACCTACCACCGCCTACACGAAACAAAAATCAATTATTTAATTCATGTGTTTAACTTATACATATTTGCCAAAACATCAGCCTTATACATTCCATAAGACAAACCACATAGGTCCTATAAGAATACATAAAAAGTATGTGTGACCGCTTATACATTTCATTTGACACATGATCTTCATTAACTTTTTGCAAGGCGTCTGCTTATTAGTTGACTTATACATTTTATGAATAATCGGCAATAGAAATTTGCCAAAAGGTATAAGGAGATTTCTATCCGTGTACCACTTCATCGACTACGATTATGCTGTTCAATATACAAAATTACGGAAGTAGCCCTAATAAAAAATAACCATAAACGAACGATAACCCTAATCATTGTACTATTCCACAAATGGTTTGGATGATACCCAGAACACGTCGTTAAGCAAATTAACCATACAATTTTTATTAGGGAGGGTGATGGTAACCACGGGAAACAAAGAGAATTCGGTAGAATTGTCACAGAAAATCCTTCAACCTTTCACGTCGAGGTAACGAGAAAGGAAAATTCCACTGGCAAATAGTACACGAGAAAAGTGAGCTCCGATCAGGAATGAACGATTTGTCCTCGGCCAATGCGAGATTATCCGTGAATGATGTCCCTGGAAGTCGATTTCTTGGGGTGTTGCTTCCCCTGTTTGGAGCAGAGAAGAATCTGGTCACAGGAGAAGACGGCACCATTGTTCCACACGCTTTTGCCATGCGAATATTACCTCCGGGCGAAAGAGGTCAACTTCGAACTAAACTCCAAGATTATTTAATTGCAACGTTAAACGGTGAACTGCGCGCAACTTTACTGCTTATTTTCATTTTCAGTTCGATCATTATAGTAAAAAATATAATAATAATATTCAACATATTTTTGAACCTTTTTATTTAAAAATAGAAACTTTAAATTTAATATTTTTCTAGAATTTAAAATAAAACAACGATGTTGTTTTGAAAATATTAATTTTGAATTTAAAATAATCCGCTTTCAATTTCAACACTGCCCCGTTTTTCATCTGACTGTTCTACAATTTATTTTGAAAGTTTCAGCTTTTAAAAGTAGGGTGCGGGCAACTTTTGAATTGACAGTTGGCCAAAGGGTAGATCACTCCGCACACCAATCTTGGGTCATCTTTTTTGTCAGTGTGCCGCAAGTATGCCGATTGTGCCAGTCATAGAGTAAGCTGCAATTGTTTGTAAAATACCCATCCCGGCAACCCGGTATTTCTGACACCTTGAATGTTTTGGTTTGAAATCGCGAGGATAAATCGGACTGAGGATAACGCGGGAAGTGGCGAGTGTGCGAAATTTTGGTGTTTTGTGATCCATAGGGTAATTAAAGTCCTGAATTTTAGTGTTTTATAATGTCCTCAAAGGCAGACCAGAAACCTAGCCTTTCGGTCGGAAAGATGTAAGTAACGGCTAGCTCAGGGCTACTCTTACTCCTGGGTCGGCTTCCCACGTACTTCAGACAGACTCTTGAGGAACAAAGCGGACAACCAACCAAACCAATCACGACTAGAAGAGGACTCGCATGCAAACCTAAGGCTCTAGTATTAAAGAATAAACGTCACAAATTTATTTTAACATTTTATTTAGGACATATGAGAGGTGAGGGAAGGAAGGAATTTTAGGGAGAGGGTATCGGTGCGGCCGTTCAGCTGCTGGTGGGGCCCTTCACATGCTTGAAGTGCGAGAGAGAGTGTGTTTCTGCTGACATACCTGATCCGGCTTGCTTGTTGGAGGGGTGCTCACGAAAGGGGGGGGGGAACACATCGGTTCCAAGTACTGGCAAGCGGGGGCGGACCCGCCGGTCCTCACCAGGCTGGTAACCTCCTTGGCGTCCGTTCCTCCGCTCCACGACCGTGTGTAGTCACCGAAATGGCGAAGGGGACCCGGCTGACTACCTGCACCTGGGGTTGAATCCGAACGGATGCCAGAACGGATCTATTCCAGGAAAAGAAGGCTTGCTTGACCTTAACCCAGGGTCCTGTAGCCCGTCCATCGATGGTGAGGTTCTTCGAGGTTGGAGTTCCCACGTAGTCCACTCAATGGAACGTCAACGGTCCGACCAAGGGGAACGTTGATCTCGACTTCTCCGGTCGATCTGCTTTCCATCTGGTAGATACGGTTCCGCCACGGTCCAGATAGTCCCACGTGGTCTTTTCGGCCAGGCACAGCCCGAAAAAAAAATAACAGTGAAATTTTCAGTGGAAACAATGCTCTAACATTAATATTTATTGTCGACAATAAAAATGATTGTTATAATGTTGTACTCTTCCGAAAACGGCAAAACTGCTACCTAGATGTACAATGAATGTACATAATAAAATGTTGTTACAATGATTTTTATGGTATTTTTCATTTATTTTATTGTTAACATGATTCGATCATGAACAATAATTAACAACTCTATTACAATAAAAATTGTTGTTACATTAAATATTGGTGTATTTTCATTGTGGGTTACTTCACGAACAATAAAAATAAATCTAATTGAAGCATGCAGACTATGAGAGGGTCAGCAACACTGCCAATGTAATTAAGATAGGCGCTGCTCGTATGGCTCTGGCTTTGACAGTTCGTTTGGCTCAAAATCAGGCAGTCCGCGTCCGCTCATATCTTATCCTAGACCCTCTCAAAAGCTTAATGGAGACCTTTTCCGTGCAGTCAATAATCATACAATAATAATAAAAAATTCCACCACTTGAAGATGTCAGGAAGTAACTCTCAGGTGGAAGCATATCTCATGGGCGATTCTCTCCAGTCGAATGCATTAACTTATCAACGACGCTCAACCACCAAGGAGACGTGACCTAGGGATATCGAGCGCAGGGGAGTTGGCCTGCATTTCTCACAAGTTCCGGATCGAATCTCGATCCATAACCAGTAAAAAAAAAAGGACCACCCGTAACAGACATACCACCCCCTTCCCTTCCCGGGGCAATGTTTTATTTTTTCGATTTATTTTTAAAGTCGATAAAGTAGATCTGTCAAGCCAACACATACACTCTAAAGTACACTGTTATTTTTTTTAACAATAAATTCGCCAACCAACAGTAAAATAACAATAATATATAATGTTATTGAAAAAAAATTATATGGGAAAATAACGAAAATTTCATTGTTAAGATACTTAACAACCCCCCTTTTTTATTGTAAATTTTCCATTTACCATGAAATTTATTGTTTTGTACAACATAAATCAAGGTAAATTTATTGTAGACGTAACAATATAAATCATTGTTAAGACAATAATTTTCGTCTTATTGTTACATTGTTTTTTAATGTATTTTTGTTGTTATTTTTTTTTCGGGAGTTCCGGGCTTCACTGGCTCCTCCCACAGGTTGCTTCGGCCGACAGAGGGCTACACTGGCACTTCCCGCGTGGCAAAACTTCAGTCCAATCTGGGCTTGGCACTACTCTTGCGGCTCCACGAACTTGGCTCAGTCGTCACGACCCGTTGGCCTTTTTTCCGGACACTTCCACCTCAATCGACTCCGCACACCACCCGAACGTTTGGGTTTTTTTTCTTTTCGGTTTCTATTCTTCCACTGAACAAACTTGTCCAAAAAGCGTCTCGTTCGTTTGATCGTCCCGTACTTTCTGCCGACCTCTGCTTTTCCTAGGCCATATCTCCTTCTTTCTCTCGTTTCACTCTCTCCCTCTTTCTCTCTCACTTTCTCGTTGACAGGCGGAAATAGACAAACGTTCCGATTTCGCCCGTTGGAGATGTCAACCATAGAGGCAACTCTAAGACTAGTAGGTCCCGAAGAAATGTGCTCAACTTTTTGGATCAGCTCTGGTACTATCTTCGGTCCCAAGCTAAACGATTCACCCCTCGAAACATTTGAAAATCCAATAACCCCTCATTTTATCTGTCAAACTTTCATAGCGAATCAAAACAAACATTGTGTAGTACTAGAAGGGGGTACGTTAATCGATTTGCTTGGGACCAATAGGCTAGTCAAGTAGTGAGCCAATTTAAAATCGTTAGTTTCGTATTGATTGTTGTGTCAACTGTGCTTTGCGTTTGCGCACGGTGGGTTGATTAGTAGTGTTTTTTTTTTGCTTAAAATTTAGTGCAGACTTTGCCGTCTTTTGTTTTTATTTACAGGGAGCACAAAGGACAAATGACGCAAGCGCGGTTTATGCTTGTCCAATGGCTTTATTTTTGTACTTAATGCTTATGACTACATGCAAAGTCTTACAAATAATTATATACATTTGCTGGTCAACTAATTAACTGGGTTTAAATATTTATGTTAAACATAAATTAACAAACAAAAACAAGATAAACTGGCAAAAGGAATATAATACTAAACACAGAAACTTAACTAACCGATGAGCCTACTTTAAAATTTTGAATTTATAACTAAACTAGCTACACAGCAAAAAAAAATGTAATATCGATCAATGTAATTCAAGCTGATGTATGAAATAATGATGTAATAGCAAAAAGCAGATAGAATATTACATCAATGGATGTTATTTTGTTCGCAAAATCGATGTACATCGTACAACGTTATATTACACAACCGATGGATTGACCTGGTTGCAGCAGTTTGGATGTAATATTCAACAACTTTTTTTTCTGTGTACCTACAGTTAAATATCATATTCGCAAAAACTGTACATCGCCAATCGACTTCAAAGCCATTGTTGGCGGTGATTGACCGGTAACAAAGAGTTGGAACCGGTGGGGAGCATTGTTGGAGACCGACTATAGAGGGTGATCAATAGACTTCTTTAGTTTGTTTTGTGCGAGTTGCAGCATTATTTGAATTAAGGGTACTAATGAAGTCTGATTAACTGCCTCTTCCTCTTGAGTCCACTCTAGAACCTACATTTCATGTTTAGATCTATAAGTGAACTGCTGGTCTGAGTTCCTCTAGTATATTCAATTAGAAGATGTCCCTGAACATACAGTCAAACAACACGTAATGTTCTGAACAACTTCAATGACAGTTGTCCAGCAGTGCTCCCATTTTATTTACAACAATTTAATGCCTATGAGATTGTGCCGAAGGTATGATAAAAATGTGCCGATGGATGTGCCGAATATAATTTCGGCACAATGTGCTGAGTGACTTACCCCTTGCAGTTGGCAGACTTTCGATTCGAAAGCTATCCGCTTTCTACCAAAAAGAACCTACGCAAACTTTCAATTCTACCAATGTTATTTTTAATATTATCAATGATTATTTTTTGTGTGACTCATCGTGCGCGCAGCTAATCACATTAAAACAACATCGTTTCCGCATCGTAGATAGAGTCGTCCCCCTCGGTTTAATGTCAAATCGATTCAATTTCAAGCAAAATGGGAATAGTTCAATTTATCAGTGCAGCTTTGCCAATCAACTGAAAACGACCCGCAACAAAACCGAAGTCATGGATCCAGAAACCCACCTAGGTAAGTGTCTTAACAAAGTTCCAGCTTGATAAAACCGAAGGAACCCCACAGTATTGACGTCACTCTGTCGTTTCTGATGCTGATCCCTGTATCATCCTCCTCCACAACTGACATCGGAAGAAAAACGAAAATCCTAACTGGATTTTGAATCTATTCTTGATCCTCCAGACATGAATCCGATCGACGTTCTTCATTTGTCAACTTGTCACTTCTAACACAGTTTACCCATTTTTGGGTAGATTCAGTTTTGACCGATCTGGGTGGATTCTACCCAAATTTGGGTAGTTTTGAAATAGCGTTTGGTAGACGGTTTGACAGTTCGATAGATAGATTTTAGTTTCAGCAGCTCAAGTTGAACATTAAGTCCTAAGTAACATTGACAGATTCTCTTCGTCGACTTTCTCTTTGTATTCCCACGGCCATGTAAATATATTCTCAGGTATTTTCGGCCTCGTTTTCGGCACACAGATCGATAGAAGAAGCTTTTCCCACATAAACAATAACCATAAAAAGCGCCTAACCACCAATTCGGGATATCATCCCAACTGTATGTGCTATGATCTTAACATCTATAATATTTTTAGTGTATGGTATCCAATCTAGCATCTAATATGACAAACACAACAAGAAACAGTTATGTGCTCTAGTTATTAACGAAAAAGGAAGTCGACGGAGAGAATCGGTCAATGTTACTTATGACCTAATCAATGTTCACCTTGAACTCTTCTACACGGTAAAGAATCCTAAATTTTTCACCTGCGTGAAAAACGCAATTCGCAAATTTTTCACTTCACTCAAAAAATTTGTCACATAAATTTCACTGGAAAAAACACGTAACCTTCAGATATTAAAAATTGTCTGTAAAGTATATGACGTTAATAAAATTTATTACAAATCGTATTAAAAGCAATGTTATACGCTTTGAAACTTAGATGAATATATATAAGTTTCAAATGCATTTCATGTAAGATAATTTCACTTAGATCCTACATGAATTTATAGTATGAAAATTTCTGAGTGGTGATGGCACAAACAAAACCCGAAAGATTGCCAGAGGAAGTGCAACTGTCCGGAGGTTGCTGGAACACATAAGACATCCATAATAAAATTGTTATGGTTATTTTGCTTAACGACGTGTTTGGGGTATCATCCCAACCATTTGTGGAATAGTTCTATTATTAGGGTTATCGTTCGTTTATGGTAATTTTTTATGAGGGATATATGATCAGCTTTCTGAACAATACAATTTTTATTATTTCGAAAAATAATTTTAAAATTCCTAACAATGGCTGATGCTACGAAGAAATTTACTAAAATTTAAGTGAAATCATAATAACATTTCCAGTAAACTGTATGAAACGTCAAAATCAGGTCAAAATGTATCATTCGCTCCTTCACGATTTATGATTATTTTTATGTTCAAGAACTGTTCGACTAAAATATCCGAGAAATATCATGGAAATTATATAAAAAAGAGCTTGTTTCATGAAGTAAGTAATATCAACAATCAATACGAAACTATCGATTTTAAATTGGCTCACTACTTGACTCGCCTATTGGTCCCAAGCAAATCGATTAACGTACCCTCATCGAACTAACTTTATGATTGTCGATGGGGCTTGAGCACTCCCAGTTCAGAGTTTTTGGCAGGATTCAACTGTTAAAGAGCAAAATAATTGAGTCCGCAGTACCCAGCTAATTTCCAGCAAAGTTTTAGTTTGCTTTACCTATTTCAGCAAACTGTTTTGCTGAAACCCATAATCGAAATTTTGTGTGTACCTACCAAATTTATATATGAAACCTATAGGTAAATTTTACTTCAGTCTAAATTCATACGTTAGCCAAGCTTATGCGTTACGTTTTGGTTGTCAGCTTCGCTTTGACAGTTAAATTTTCACTTCGGCATCTGCGCCGCGGGTTTTTTCAAAGGTCTTTTTCCTCCCATTTTCTGTGCGTGTAGCAGACTGGTTGGAAAAGGAGGACGGTTTTCAGTGAATTTAGATAAAAAGCGGAGTGAATTTAAGGAAAAATAACTGCTCTGCATCTTCTAGGGGGTGCTACTTCTGGAAAGAAGTAAAATTTAGGAATCGTTGTGGATAGCGCAAGATGGTAAGTGTTTTATTTCCGCTTGGCTTGGGTTGGATTGATTTTGAACATGGAGTCCATCTTTCTTTTTTCGCAGTCAAAGAAAATGTCTCGCTATCCTCACGACGCCAAAGTTTACGTTGGCGAGCTCGGCAACAATGCCAGCAAGCAAGAAATCGAAGATGCTTTCTCCTACTATGGTCCATTGAGGAATGTTTGGGTTGCTCGGAATCCTCCGGGATTCGCTTTCGTTGAATTTGACGACGCCCGGGACGCGGAAGATTCGGTCCGTGGCCTTGACGGTCGTACGGTTTGCGGTCGTCGCGTACGGGTGGAACTGTCCACCGGAAAGGGTGGTCGTGGTTTCCGCGGTGGTGGCGGCGGCGGTGGAGGTGGTGGCGGAGGAGGCGGAGGAGGAGGTGGTCCACCCCGCGGCAAGGGTGGCCGCGGAGGGTTCAATCCTGATGATCGATGCTACGAGTGCGGAGGACGAGGCCACTATGCTCGCGATTGTACCAAGTCCGGCAGGGGCAAAGGCCGCAAGAGGTAAGTTGGTGTTTTTTTTGTATATTAAACAGAACCAATGCTTGGAGTGGGTTGCGAGATGCGTTGAAGCTGGGGGTGGGGAGTAAGATTCAAAATCGATTTTTGCCATGTTGAAAAACATCATCTCGCAATGCCATCATCCGTTGATAAGCATGTAATCATAATGTTCGCATCTGAAAGGCCGATTTTTATTCTGGTATTGATTTTCACCAGAGTAGGGAGAGATGCATCGAATGAGAGGAAGAAAGACGAATTTCCTGATTGATTCAATGTGCGTTGCCCACCTCGTCGAAACCCGGCAGAAATAATGCTTCAACGCCTCCTCGTTGAGCACGTTGAATCAGTCATCGAAATTGTCGAAAGAAGCGTCCCCTAAGTAACAAGTGAGAGCTAGGCAGCGAGATCATCGCAGAATCAGCGAAGAGTCAAATGACGTAAAGATTCATCGTTCTCAAAGTCAGCTTCCTCAGCTAGTCGCCACGGGTCAAAAAGTATAATTGCAACCGCTTCTTCACCTGCGCTGAAAGCACCGAGATCTGCTTAGCTGCCTTTGAAAGGCAGGCAATTTTATCAATGAGAAAGCAACAGAGAACTCTTCACGTAGAAAACGACCAAGCTTACCAAAAATAAAAAGTCCGTTTGTCTTCAAGTCTTCTGTGCAAAGTCTACTAGAGAGTGTAAACGCACGCATCCAGTAACGTTTCTGCATGAGTCTTTCTACTGAAGTTTCCCGTGAGTGTTCTTTTTGCTTTATTTTTTTTACAAATTGCTCAAAGGTCAAACTATTAGGCAAGGTCGGTACAAACTAATAACGTATTTAATGCAATTTCCGCGTCATAAGACTGTTCACTTTAGAGAATAAATATTATTTAAGGCATTTGCGCACTTGAATCTTGCGACAGATTGGATGACAACAGGTCAGATAATTATTGTGCCCCAGATTGATTGGCGTTTGTTCCAATAACTTACTATGTCATTTGAATGGTTTTACGAAAAGTTTCTGAAAATCGCGCTATTTATGTTTCGTGAACAATAGTTATCTCCTGTTATCAATAACGTTTGACACTAGGTTTCCGGCGGTCGAGCATTCCCAGTTTCCTCTAACATAATGTTTTCTCTTTTCCCCGTCACCCGCTCCTATAGATCTCGCAGCCGTAGCCCTCGGTCTCGTTCACGCGAGTTGCGTACTCGTTCGAAGAGCTACAGCCGCAGTCGCAGCCGTGACCGGGATCGCGAACGTGAGCGTGATCGCGACCGCCGTTCCCGTTCCAAGACTCCGAAGAAAACGACCCGAGCTGAGCGTTCGGTGAGCCGCGATCACAGCAAATCGCCTCGTCGTTCCGTTTCGAAGGTCCGCAGTCGCTCAAGAACACCTCGTTCGGCGACTAGGTCCCGCTCGCGGTCGCATCGTCGCAATGGGACTTCACATCACGATTAGGAGAGCGCTGCTTACAAGTGGATGTTGCCAATAGGTCCAGACCACCGAGATTAACAACACACACACACAGGCAAATAAGAAGGATACAAAATCTTAAACTCCCAATTTGGAACGCAACAAAACTTGACACTCTTTATCGTTTTTGGCAGATAGAAAATGACCAAAAATATGATTTACTTAATCCGTAGTTGTAGGGGTTTCATGATTATTTCCATAAGTTTTAATACATTTAAGATTGAATTGTTCGTGTAGGTAAACAAACTATTTGAGATTGATAGTATTTGACGAAAAAAGTGCGCTGTAATTGCTGCCACGGGCACATGAATTCTTATACTAAAGCTAAGGAATAGTTGTTTAACTGTAATCTGACAAAAAATAATCAGCTCTCTGTACGGATTTTGAGAAACGCATATTAGATTCGCCGTGTCCATGCATTTATCATTTTCTCTAACCGAATGCTAGAAAAGAAGCAAAGTTTCATATCTGCCGCAGCAGCGGAATCTCCAATCATCAGTATAATTTTGTTCGTATGCTTTTATTTATAAATGTGGACTTAACAGAATACAGCAAAATAAATATATAAAAAGTATTTGAACTCAAGTTTGTCAAAGCAGTATTTGCGTGTATTTTTCATGTACTGTAGTATCACACGATCAATCATATAGCATATAACATTGCTCTCTCATTTCCATGAGATGTGAATCAAGCAGTGTTTGTTGAATTTTAGAAAAAAAAGTGTCTTTTTTTAACTCTTTATTTGTTCCAAATTCAAAATAAATTACATTTCATTTTAACCTAGGTGCTCCAGTACTACAGTAACTTACCAGCCTTAATTGATATGATATATATATCTAAGTGTTTTTACATTGTTCCTGCCTTGGTAATTCAGTATTTTAAACAGTACCTTGACTATATGTTTTTTAGTATTACTTCTACGTGAAGTCAACGATTTACATAGTTGAAGATGCTAATTTCAAATAACAGACTGTAGTGGTAATTTTTATACGATAGATGGAGATGGGCCTCCCTTAGCTCAGTCGGTAAAGGCGCAGCTACAAAGCAAGACCATGCTGGAGGTGGCTGGGTTCGATTCCCGGGTCGGTCTAGGAATTTTTCGGGTTGGAAAATGTCTCGACTTCCCTGGGCATAGAAGTATGATTGGACTTGCCACACAATTATACCAATGCAAAAATGGTACAGGCATCGAAAGCTCTCAATTAATAACTGTGGAAGTGCATCTAGAACACTAAGTTGAGAGCACGCAATAAGCTAATATGCGATATGCAATAAGCTTGAAATGCGAAGAAGAAGAAGAAGAAGGAGTAGATGAAAGCATAGAGTTGATAGTTCCGTTAGAGTACGGCAGTGTAAAGATTGTATATAGATATTAGAATAGCAAGCTAGGACAACTTTTAAGGAAGGTACAAATCGGTTTTTTCATCTCTCTTTACCAAACTCCCCCTTTGGAGAGGGATGGTGAGGGGTTATAATCAAAAGGTGAGTTTTAAAAATATAATTACCATGCATATAGATAAGTTAATGTACCAGAACCTGGACGGACACGAGCCTACCCAGGGCAGGACCCGGATACGACCACCCATGTGTATCTAGAGTATCGCACGAGCTGACGAGTGCAACGGGAAGGACAGTAGGTGTATAGACTAGGGGGTTGGTCCCTAGATAAGCCTTCTTAGCGGAAGGCACAGCCTATGCACTGAACAATTACAATTACAATTTGGCTTGAATGCCCTCAATGTGATCTTTAAAAGTTAATTTTTGGTCAAATACTAATCCAAGATATTTCACTTGGTTTGACCAGGAAATTTGAACTCCGTTCATAGTGGCTATGTGACTACTACTAGGTTTCAAAATGGAAGCTTTAGGCTTATGTGGAAATATTTTAAGTTGAGTTTTGGAAGCGTTGGGAGAAATCTTCCATTTTTGTAAATAAGAAGAGAAAATATCTAAACTTTTGTGCAGTCTGCTGCAAATAACACGAAGACTTCTTCCTTTAGCGGAAATGCCTATGTAATCAGCGAACAAAGATTTGTGGCAGCCCTGAGGCAAATCAGGGAGGTCCGAAGTGAAAATGTTATACAATATAGGCCCAAGAATGCTACCCTGAGGAACTCCGGCTCTAACAGGAAGTCGATCAGATTTGGAATTTTGATAACTTACCTGCAGAGTTCTGTCAGCTACATATTTTTGAATTAATTTCATAATATAGAGTGGAAAATTAAACCACAGACAAACAGACATAACACATTGAATATATCTCATTGTAAAACATCGTCGCTAAAACATCATCGCCACCTGTTGAGTACACTGTGGTGGGTAGTACGCTGAAAAGATGGCGGTAGTGTTTAAACGTCAAACGCAAGGGAATTGACTATGCGCGCCACAGGCGGCAGTACTACCAACTGAGATACTTTTAAATTGACCGTTAAATGCTTGTTCGATGAACAACTTGTAAGAGTTATGTCTGTTTGTCTGTGATTAAACTTTCTTTAATTTAGCAATCAAACCTTCATGCCAAACACTGTCGAATGCTTTTTCTATGTCTAGAAGAGCAACTCCAGTTGAGTTGCCTTCAGATTTGTTTGAACGAATTAAATTGGTAACTCTTAAGAGTTGATGAGAATGCCCATGGCGAAATCCAAGCTACTCATTTGCAAAAATTGAGTTCGTATTGATGTGCAGCATCATTCTATTTAAAATTATCTTTCCAAAAAGTTTACTTATTGAAGAAAGCAAACTTATTGGACGGTAGGTAGATGCTTCAGCTGGATTTTTATCCGGCTTAAAATTGGAACAGCTTTTGCATTTTTCCATTTATCAGGAAAGTATGCCAAATGGAAACATCTGTTAAATAATTTTACCAAGAAAGACAAGGTACTCTCTGGGAGTTTTTTGATGAGGATATAGAAAATTCCATCATCACCTGGAGCTTTCATATTTTGAAACTTTTTAGTTATAGACCTTACCTCGTCCAAATCAGTCCCCCAGGAATCAAACATATTTTCCCGAGAGAAAATATTCAGATAATCCCGAGCAACCTGATTCTCAATAGGACTAGTGAGACCCAAACTGAAACTATGGGAACTCTCGAATTGCTTAGCAAGTTTCTGAGCTTTTTCCAAATTTGTGATCAAAATTTTACCACCTTCTTTAAGCGCTGGAATAGGCTTTTGAGGTTTTTTTTTTCAAAATTTTTGTGAGTTTGAGGGTTTGGAACTCGGGTCTAATTTAGAAACATTATTTTCAGCATTTTTGTTCCTCAGGGCAGAGAATCGCTTTTTAATTTGTTTTTGCAAATCCCGCCAGATAATTTTCATGGCCAGGATCGCGTGTTCTTTGATATTGTCTCCTATGGACATTTTTAAGACGGATAAAGAGCTGAAGATCGTCGTCTATTATAATTGAATCGAATTTAACCTCGCATTTTGGTACTGAGGCAGCTCTTGCTTCAACTATAGAAGTAGTCAGAGATTCAAGAGCTTAATTAATTTCATCTTTGGTTTGCAAAGGAATGTTTGGATCGAAGTTATATTCCATAAATGTTAAATATTGCTCCCAATCAGCTCTATGGTAATTGAAAGTAGAGCTGTTGGGATTACAAATTATTTCTTGTGATATTTCAAAAGTTACTGGAAGGCGATCAGAACCGAAGTCAGCATGGATAAACAGTTGGCTACAACGTTGACATGAATCAGCTAAGACCAAATCAATAGTGGAGGGATTTCTTGCAGAAGAAAAGCATGTTGGGCTGTTTGGATATTGAATAGTGTAATAACCTGCAGAACAATCATCAAACAGAATATTACCATTGGAATTGCTTTGAGCATAATTCCATGAGCGGTGTTTTGCATTAAAATCACCAATAATGAAGAATTTAAACCTATGACGGGTAAGTTTCTGAAGGTCACCCTTGAGAAAATTCTTTTGCTGGCCTACGCATTGGAGGAATGGCAAATAGGCAGCTATAAACGTAAGTTGTACAAATTTTGTTTCAACAGAAACTCACAAAGTTTCAAAATTTTTGGTTTCAAATGAAGAAAGAATTTTATGTTTGATGCGTCTATGGATAATGATGGCAGGCTCCATCAAGACGATCATTTCTATAAATTAAATAATTTGAGTCCTTCTTAACCTTATGGTCAGGTTTAAGGAACGTTTCAGTTATAACGGCAATATGCACGTTATGAACTCTCAAAAAGTTAAATAGCTCGTCTTCATTATCTTTAAGAGTTCGAGCATTCCAATTTAAAATATTCAATGCTTTAAAATCCATTATTGAATTTCAAAGTCATGACAATATTATTTGCAAATTTTACTCCAGTTTGAATAGCATCAAACATGCAGTTAGATTTAAGCGTATTAGAAATCATGTCAATTAATGATTTCTGTAAAAATTCCATTTTAGGAGCAGTAATGGAATCAAAGTCAAGATTTTCAAATTTTCCGTTAGAATTACAGCAAAAGGGTTTATCTTCCATTTAATTCCACTTAATTAATTTTTGTATCCATGACAGATACGTATTTCGACTACAATGTGCAGTCTTCATCAGTGTCATTCCCACTAAAGAACTTATCAAAATCTAACCCCCTTAAGTACTCATCCCCTAGGTAAAAAAGTCAAGATCATAGGTATAAAAATGAAACTACAATGTGTTGAATCGGAACCTACCTAACTAATAAAAACCAAAGATTTAAGTAAGCTAAAGGAGAAAAATCTATACAAATCTCTAATAAGGAAAATCCCCAAAGGCTTGGTAGCCATCATAATGAAGTAATGAAATTGGGTTGTTAGCGGAATGCTAAATAAAACAGCTCCTTTAGCTTACTTAAATCTTTGGTTTTTATTAGTTAGGTAGGTTCCGATTCAACACATTGTAGTTTCATTTTTATACCTATGATCTTGACTTTTTTACCTAGGGGATGAGTACTTAAGGGGGTTAGATTTTGATAAGTTCTTTAGTGGGAATGACACTGATGAAGACTGCACATTGTAGTCGAAATACGTATCTGTCATGGATACAAAAATTAATTAAGTGGAATTAAATGGAAGATAAACCCTTTTGCTGTTTTATTTAGCATTCCGCTAACAACCCAATTTCATTACTTCACGTTAGAATTACGTTGTTTAGTATTTTGATTTCTACCCACTGCAATAGCAGCATAGGTAGCTCCATTAACTCGCTGAATATTGTTAGGTATAGATGAAAAATTTGAAGCAGGGGTGATATTTGTACCTACGGGTACGAATGTAGAATTTGTTCCTCGCTGACCGTTGTTAACAGCAGAGGATTTTGTACCTGCCTGGGATCGTGGAGCGTTTCCTACCTGTCGCTTAGAACGAGATCGTAGGATTGCTTTGCGAGTCTTACATTCCCAAAAATTGCATTTGTAAATTTCTTAGGAGCTTCCTTCACAGGACAGTCGTCCTTTGCGTGAGAGGAATCACCACAATTCATGCATTTAGCTGGCATGTAGCAATTTTTAGTTCCATGACCCCATCCCTGGCACTTACGGCACTGAGTGAGGTTTTGGAAATTTCCTCCAGTCTTCCTGAACTGTTCCCACTTCACTCAGACATGGAGCATAAGGCTAGCT